AAACTTTATGTACCAAACGATCATTATGAGTCAGCATAACATTAAATGACATACCAAACTCTTGGTACATTACAAAGTTGCAGTCCAATAATGTACCAAATTTAAAATGTTAACTAGTACATTACAAAGTTGTAGTCCAATATGAGTCAGCATAACATTAATAATGTACTCATCATAGCCTTGCTTAGGACCCTCAACTTCTTATACTAGCTACGTACGTTGCGGTGTAACTCCTAGCAAGTTGGATGGATCTGAGATCCAACCGAAGCTCCATATGGGATTCTTAATTCGATTAATACTAAAACCCTAATTAACAATTTGGCTAGTACACAACATGCATCGACCCTAACGTGTGAATCATGTTTTTTAACTCGATAATAGCTTCAGTTATACCTAGATTAATCAAGTTTTCATCTTTTATTTGTTTTTGTTTAATCAAAACCCTCGACTTCGAAAGACAATCAAAATCAATGCACCCAACTGATGATTGAATAAAAATCAGTAACTGGAACCTGAATACCAATGTCGACCTTGGTACGAAAAGAAGGCTTCTGAAACTTATGGTACGTTCATAGGAAGGAAGTGCCGCTAGAAAATAAAATTCACTAGAAAAATGACATTATAAATATCCTTAAATTCAAATCCTTCTGTTAGTCAACAAGTATTCTACTCGAATTAAAACTCTGAGACATAGTTAGCAAGAATCTAGGAAATTTGTGTGCATTTTGGGGTGAAGAAACTGGATACGACAAAGAGATACATTAAAGGCTATGGCAAAATATGTAATTTAGGTGCATTACAATGGGTTAATTAAAATACACATGGCACCAAAATTGTAGGAGAATGTTTAATCAAATTGTTAAATTGAACAGATGTTTAATCTAAGAAGCCTAAAAATGAGGGGTCTATATCAAAACGCTCCATAATTATATTGTAATTTGATTTGTTTAGGGAAGAATAAAACAGAGCTCCGATACCTGACAGATTTCACGAGTTGATGCAACATAGATGGAATTTAGAATCTAACATCGAACTCCTTATAATTTGCACGCACATGCGAATATATTTTTCCTACTAATTATATTGTTATTCTATTTGTTCATTATATTTTTATTTAATTTTTGCAGTGTTTATTTACCCTCATGATTATTAATTATTTTATTGCTCTTAACAACTCATTTCCCACACAAACACATTGATATCAAGCTCTAATTCAAGGGTAAAGTTTAAAATGACAATTGAGAGGCTCAAAGTCTTAAAAATCTCGTGCACCCACAAACTGAATAGTTTAATCCAATTGATGCAGTTGGCCCCTGTTTAACATTAACTTTCAAAAAGAACAATGTAAAACTAGGGTTTTAGAACTTAAAAGGTATTTGATATGTTTACAGAACAATAAAGCAGGTATCCAACATACAACGAAGATGTCGCTTAATTGACATAACATGGATAAGAATGACGAGTATGACTTCGAGCCGCTCCCTTGGAGAAATGACTTTTCTTACTAAGTATATTTTGATATTTGTTAGAACTAATAATTATATTGTTATTTGATTTGTTTACGGAAGAATAAAGAGTAAATTGTAGCAATGATCATTTAACTTTAATCAAAGTGGAGCAATGGTCTCTCAACTAAAAATCTATTATCATTGGTCCCTTAATTCATCAAAATGTGTAACTATGGTCATTTTCGTTAACTTCGTCAAAATTTTGTCAAAATGAGTTATGTTGAAAATACCATTGCTACAATTGGGTTAAAGTTGAGGGACCATTTCTCTAATTGGGTTAAAGTTGAGGGATCATTAATAATGAATTTTTAGTTGAGGAACTATAGCTGCATGTTTTGATGAGTTGAGGGGTCAATGGTAATGGATTTTTAGTTGAGAGATCATTGTTTCAATTGAGTTAAAGTTGAAGAACCATTACTACAATTTACTCAAGAATAAATCAAACCCCCAATATGCAACAGATTAGTCGTTTAGTTGATGGAGCATAGTTGGGGAAGACAAATCTGACCTCAAACCGCTTCCTTGTCATCCGTATTAATTTGTACGAATATGTGAAGAGGCTTTTCTACTAATTCTATTTGTTTAATTATGTATTCTTTATACTTATGAGGTCCTATTCATTTTTCTATTAGTATATAGAGTGGGATTGGAAATGGATTTTTTCAACTCATCTCTAAATTTTAGTTAAGAGCTCATTTAGAAAGCCTATTAAACATGCTCTAAGTAGAATAAAAGTGTAGAACTAACGATAAGATATCTGCGAACGAAATACATATTAAACTCAAAAGTTTAAATGTTAATTGAAGTTATTATTTCCATTTTATCCAACTCACAATTTCATCTAGTTAAGCCTCCCCACCTAAATTAACTTTCATTCATTGCTCTTACGAAAAATATACTTGATTAATTGAAGCATCAGGCTCTCAGCCTCACCATCAGAATAATAAAAAAAAAAAAAAAACAATATACTTTGATTATCTCTCAGTAAATGGTACCACATTAGACCGTCTAATTAAAGGTGGTGCCATTGCAAATCATGGTTGTCAAAAGATTCGAAACAATGGCATATCCTCATTCTCAAGAGAGCCGATGAGCGTTTGCCAGCACTCTGCTTGTTTATTTTCATCCAACGTAGTGTGTATAATAGCCTGAATTTTTAAGTAACAATAGTGAGATTCTTTTCTGTTTTTCTCTTCAATCATGTAGGTATAATAGCTTGCAAAACTGAAATTTAAGAGGTAAATAGACTATAAGTAACAATAAAAGAAAATGGATCAATGAGGTCATGTGAATAGTTAACCCTAGTAAAAATAATCATTGAAAAAGGTCATGCGTGATCTAGGCGCGTTTATTCAATGCATTAAAGTTTTAAACTGAGTGAACACCGACAAAGTTGTTGCCAGTCTGCACGTTCAATGCTTTAAATTATAGAATAGAGAGAAACGGACAAAGTTTCAATTTAGATACGCATGAAATTGGCCAAGTTTTTATTTAAAAAAAATAAAAAAAGAATAGCCAGAGTTAGTTGTTCGAGAGTAATCTATTCTAAGCCCTCTTTTGGCTCATCCCACCTCTTTAAGTATTTTTGCGACAAGATTGCCCTTGTGTGGAATTACTTGAAAGACAAAAATACTATAAAAATATAAAGAAAGATATAACAAAATATGTTTCTTCATTACCTTGTAGAGATGAACCCATCCTATGGGATATAGAGCGTACTCTTTCTTGAGCAGCTTCTTGGTACTTACCCTGCATAATAACAAGTAGACATGCATTTGTTCATATGAATATGATAACACGAAAGGTGAAAATTGAAGAAGAAAAAGTGTTGTTGATGTTATATTTCACATATTGAATTGGGATACATGTGGGGTGCTCGAACCCTTTTAACCTCTCGAGTAGTGCTTGAACCCTCGTTGAATATGCTCAATCTCCCCGTTACCTCGAGTGGGTAAATTTTATTAAGTTTTAAAAACCGGGTTAAAAGTTTTAACATGTCCAAAATTTGACTGCTTTTCAAAATTTTCCGTAATTACGCTTTGACAAACCGGGAAAATGAGAATTGCGACTAATGCCATCTGCACGTTGTATGCAGACTCCCACCTTCTTCCTTTCACCATGGTATTGCATGTATCTTGCAACTGTCTTTCTGCTTCATCAGACATTCCAGCTTTGATGAATTAAGTACACACTAAATTAAGAATTAGAGACTTAAAGTTATCAAGGATTAAAGATTTAAAGTTACCGATACATTTTGCTGCTTAAGTAAATGCGAAATGGAAATTGATTAGTGTGCCCTATAGATTGAAGAGAACCTTAAGATCTTCACAATCTTCATCAAGGGCTCGGGAGGCGGCTTAGCTACTTTGTGAAAATCTTCCGTTTAGATGAGGCTACATGCTTATTAACCATCAACAATGATTGTAACATATCCTTATCCACTTTCGGGTACAATATTTCTTGCTTTGGAAAGAATGACCTATACGATGACTGTCCCTGGTAGCTGCAGTGGCTATTGGAATGAACTTACAGTTGCAAGTGATAATTCCAAGGACACAGGCCAAAACCACAGACGTACCCCCATGCCTCTGACAATTTTTTTTTCATTTAATTTCTTCACATTTGTTGATGGTGTTGAGCGCTTGCTAAGCGCATAAATCACAGGTGAAGAAAGTTGAGGTTCCACCATAAAACCAATTGGCAATATGGGAAGTAACCCAATCTCTTATAAGCACATGCAAGGTCCCTTCTCACATCAATATGAGATTCATATCTCAACAACAGGAATGAAGGCATGCTTCAGTGTAGCGTGGCGTGTGGGAAAATCGGAAGAATGTGAGAGAGAAGCGTTGAAAGAAGAATGAAGCCTGGCCACACTCATGGTGGAAGGCACACGTAAAATTATAGAAGGTGGAGCACCACGGTGTTGTCAAAACACAAAATCCATGAAACAATTTGTGCTTTTTGAGGATACTATTACTAAGTATGCATTTATTGGTCATCGTCTGAATGGCAAGGGTTGAATATGAGGAGCACTTCGGGAGTGAAGGCATCACTTAATTAGTTAACTAAGGAAAATGAATCACCCTCATGTCGTTTTGTGATACAGAATTTACTTTTTCAGCGAAATGGGACTGCTGCGTATGTCTGCTCAAAAAACCAAAATGTTTTACATAGTCATGAGGTGCAAGGAAGAATTTTGCAGAAAGAAACAGCACTAACAGTAGTCTAGAAGCTGCATTACATAGTCTCCCTAACGTCCTTTATATATCTAGGCCAGGGCCAGGGCATTTAGACCTTTTCCTTTTTCTAATCAATAACTAGAACTTGAAAATTCTTTTCTTGGAAAATAAGAAATCACAATAAAACATTAAAGGATGAGGTTCTCGCTTCTTATCTAGGAGAAGAATTAATTCTCTGACAGCTTGAAAAACACCCGAAAGCATCAAACGGTTTCGATCACCCACATTGCAAGACTGAAATCAGAATGATTTGACATCTTTTCCCTAGTATCAATTGCAGCCTTCCATTTCCACCTTTTCAATATAGCTTGCCAGTCATATGGCATATCCTTTCTACTCCTACGTTTCACAAATTTAGGGTAACATTTACGTAAACGAAAAATCCTCATCAGTGGAAAAAAACATGGTGAACTTTTCCAAAAATTTCAGGGTGAGAACTATGTATGGAGCAATGGCAACCACAGTCTTTGCCAGCGTTTATCTTGCGGGGGCTTATATATTTCGTGCATGCGCTATAAGAAAAGAAGAGGCACAAGGCCATAGACTTACGAGGTCCATGTCCATCGCAGTCCTCCAAGGAGGGCAGCTTGCCTTGCAGAGATTGCTTGAATATCATGAAGTTCGAGCAGACAAATCAGCAGTGGAGGTAGCTGAATGTGAGTTGAGGACTTTCCTTGTGGAGCAATACCCTGATTACAAGAAGCTGCAGGTTAGGCACCTCCACTTAGAAATATGTAGTCCTTACTAGCTTGATCGATAAAATTTTTTTTTTCATTCAAATGGTAATTTCCCTTAATATCTTCCGTCTTTGTGCACGAAAGTCAGTTGTTGTGAAGCTTGAAATGAGTGGAAAAGAATCCAAGGCAATTGAAATATTGGCAAAAGCGATAGCAAAGGCACATAACGAAGGAAAAAAACATGAAGCATATGAAAATGAGATGCTATTAGTGGAAATGCTTATATACAAGGTTTTTGCTAGTACTTTCACTTCGAAATTTATAAAATTCCAATTTAGAGGAAAACCATGAAGCATATAAAGCATATGATGATTGATGTGCCTTGTAGGGTGACTTTGAGGAGGCGCTACGCCGTGAATGCTTGCGGCACGTAGAGATTTCAGATGCAAGGCGTCCCCTGTACAAGGTCGGAAAACCTTTCCTGAAATTATTATCTTGGTAACCATTCAACCCCACCCATATGGATTAACGTGATTAAGATTTTGTGTTTAATATTGACAGGCTATTATTTACATCATGTTCAAGTGCGACAAGGATCAAATTATAGAATGCTGGAAAGAATTTAATGTTCTGAAAGAATTCCAATCTTTGCCTAGTAACAACGAAAGCTTGGAAGAAAGTCACATTTATAATCTCAGTACAAATTACGACGAGTTCGAGAAGGTCGTCAACATACTAAGAAATGACATAGAGGGGAAAGCATGGAAGAAAAAGAAATAAGAGATGAACTTTTCACTAGTAAATTCCCTTTGCTCTCAGAAAACAAAGGGAAAAAAGAAAGCAATCACACATGGAAGTGATAAGTTCAAGAGTGGCATATTTCATTCATTTTGTACTCGTTCTAAAGTTCATTACAAATTTCCAATTAACGAAGCATTACCTTTTACTTTTGGGTCAAGAAATCAGAATATTATGGAAGCCCAAATTCTGGTCATTAACAGTTTGACAAATTTAATTTCGTTAACCACACTTTGGCGACAAATTTAAGTTCGTCAAGAAATTGGAATGATTGTTTTTAACCATACTTTGGTGTTATAAGATAATGTTCTCTTGCCAAATTTAATTTCAGTCATATATTCAAATGAAAGTTAACTTAATCAATGACTTGCTAAACTGTTTGAGAAAATAATGTTTTTGATGTATGTAAAGAAAATTTGGCTTACTTGGATTCCTTAAAACTTCCATGTAGGATCACTCCTACTACTACCCATTTTGCAATCATTTATATGTATGTATGTATGTATGTATGTATGTATGTATATATATATATATATATATATATATATTCAACACAAAAATGTACAATGTTAGTAATGTGAAATATTTGCACTTGTGGGTTTGGCCATTTAACAAAGATAATGTGTCCGCCTCATCCTTCTTGCACCCAAGTTCAAATCCTCCTCCATGTAAATCATAGCATTTCAAAATATTTTTGTCAAAAAACAAAAGTGGAAAGCATTTATTTTGGTGCTGAAAGTGTTCTACCACAACAACTAAGCTAGGATCCAACTTACATTGCGGAAGTTCATGTTGTCACCAAATGGAATGATGGAGTTGATCGAACAAAACTTTCTCTCTGATAAACACCTTTGTTTCTCTTCATACACATTTATATTTACTTTTGTTGATTATTCTTGCTTGATTTATTCAATTCAAAAGACAAAAGCTAAAAAAAAATGCGTAAGAGACTGAAAATATAAAAATCACCTCCCTTTTCTATTTTATCATCTGCTTTTGATAGTTTGATAATTAGTGTCCAAATCAGACCTGCCATTAGTGGTTGATATGGATAAATATGAATCAGATAAAATCAAAGGACCTTGCAGTTTGCAGGTCGTCGGCAAACTTGATTAGTATTTATCTTAAAGCAAAAGCCACTTCCGTATCTTGAGATATGATGCTTATCCTTCATCCTCCTCCTCCTCCTAAAGTTCCAAATGTCCGACCCGATGATGCAGCATTGTAAATGCTATCCACTTAATTAGGAATGCAATCCATTGCAAATTACGCATAATCTTTTGAGCTTTGAAGTCAGGTCACTTAATCATTTTCTCCTCCGAGCAAAATTAATAGGGTGTTGAAGTTAGGCCACTTTATTCCTTGTACGTGCAATGATATACTGATACTCTTTAATTCAAAGTTGAAATACCTCCGTGAGTCTTTTTGGTTTCTGAAATGGTAGATTGACGTGATAAAACCACCAGCTGATCTCTTTTTTTAAGAAAAAAAATTCTAGTGTTATCATTTGAACTCATTCATCAGTTATGCAAACAGAGAAAATAGAAAACAGAAAATATGTGAGTTATATTAATGAATTAGCCAAGGTTGGGCTTTGGTGGCCTAACTAGCTCTACCCAACCTAGGTGGAGTTATGCTAGATCTATGTTTTACTCCAAAGTAAAAGCAAGTAATGCCTATACATTTGGCCTCGTTACATACAATCTTTCTTTATCAGATAAAAAAAATTTAAAGGAGAAATTAGGTTCTCATCTATCTTTTTTCAACTCTATTGATTAAAATCTTATTCATTTTCAATTTTTGATCAAGGTCCCTTGGTTTTAATAAACATCATTAATTATTTTCATAATAAAATATTTTACATGTCAAAATAATTAAATTTTTATTTCTAAATATATTTATTTAGTGTTAGAAACGTTACATTTGATATATATATATATATACATATATATATATATATATATATATAATTATGGCTAAATTTTGTGTCATATATTTTTATGTTTAGTTTGTACCCATTTTAATTTGCAGCCCTTTTTTAAATTGTACCAATTTTCTTTTCAATTTTAGTTTGTACCCATATATTAATTTCTTTTTGTATCCATATTTTTCAAACTTTGATTTTTACACATTTTTTAACCTTTTTTTTGTACCAATAATTTATTGACAATGTACCCATTTGTCTTTAAAAATGTTCTACTTTGTTATATGTAAAATATACCAATTTTGTTTTTGTAAGTACTCTTGTTTTATGTAAAATGTACTCATTTTTTAATGTAAGATGTATTTATTTTTTTTAATCTAAAGTGTACCCATTATTTTGTATATAATATGTACCAATTTTTTCATCTAAAACATACCAACTTTTTTTATAAAATGTACCAACTTTTTATATATAAATTGTATCATATAAAAATTACCAATTTTTTGTATGTAAAATGTCATTAATATAAGTAATGACAAATAATGAGTTTTATTTAAATATAATTTATCTTAATGATAAATCACGTCATTAAGATAAATTATACTTTTTATATGAGTATAATTTATTTTTTAATATTTTCAACCTGACAAATCATCGATTATATTTAAAATCTTATTAATATAAGTAATTACAAATATCAAATTTAATTTAAAATTATAATAACCTACATGGAAATGTATTATTGTATTAATTTCAGGGACCCCAATCAAAAACTGAAAAACTAACAAGATTTCAATCAAAGAAGGTTGATAAATAGGGACCGCATCCAAAGTCATCTAATTTTAAATTCAAATCTCACGAGTGACAGCAGTTGAATTGAAAAGAAAAAGAAAAGCAAATTACACATTGTTATGGTTGAGTAAAGAATGTACATCTACCTCAACACCTTTCCTGACATGGTCTTCAAGTCCAATTACTGTTTGTGGTGGAGTCACCGCAGACATCGACGGCAACTCTCCCATCCCATGGAATGGATTCACCACTTCAAAAATCTCCAACACCATAAAGGTAAGAAAGACTGCAAACAAGAAGGCCCACTAGCTTTCCTCTTCTTCTCATACGTGAATAGTTAATCTACATCTTTTGATATGTTATCGTAATATTTTAAACTTATTACTTATCATTATGTATTTTAATTTTCTTATATGATATTGCATGATTAGTTTGAAATACTAATATCTTGACACTTCTATTTCATGTAAATCATTATTGTATTTCAGGGGTAATTTGAAGAACTAACTAATTAACATGGGGTTTCTCTAAAGTTTTTTTTTTTTTTTAATTGAATACATTAAAAAAGAAGCGGCCACAAACAAAACAAAACAAAACAAAAAACAAAAGCAAAACAAAACAAAACAAAAAACAAAAACAAAAACAAAACAAAAAACAAAAACAAAACAAAAAAAAAAAAAACCAATAGAATAATAGATAATCAAAGGAAAATAAATCAAGGCGAGGAAACTTATGGGAATTTTACGGGGAAAGCAACGTCAACTCCTCTCTTCTTTCAATCAAAGTTGGTATGTTTCTCTCTGCTCTACCTCTTCACCTCTCTGTTTCTGGCTCTCTACACCTCTCTCTCCCATACCAAATGCCTCTTCAGATCTTCCCCCTTCGACCCGATTCAGGCCCCTCTCTTCTCCTACCCTTCCACCTACGGCGAGCACAAGTATGCAATCCCAACCCACCGCACCTCTTGCTCTTCCCCAGTCTATTTTTCAGGTAACGCTCCATTTTTTTAGCCCAATTTTTCTTCACCTTTTTTGCCTTTTGGTGATTTTAATTTTGGATTCCGGCAATTGGTTTTTGTTTTTGTGATCAGATTATTGGTTGGTCTTGAAGGAGATCCAGAATTTGTGTAAGAATTCTTCGTGGTCTCCGTCGGCTTTGAGGTATTTGCAGGGGAAGGCTGAGACGTTTGCAGGAAATTTAAGTACCCAAGAGAGGATTCCCTATTTTGTTCATTACAATGAGAGCATTGAAATCCCTTGTGGATTCTTGAAGAAATTTCCGATTAGTGATTCTGGTTAGTTTGGCATCCACGCAAAGTTCTATAAAGTCCAATTTTTATTTCATTTACCTACATTTGTGAATAACATGTTTTTTTTTGGTATGTAATTAAGATCGAAGGGCTATGGAAAACTGTAAAGGAGTCGTAGTGGTTTCGGCGATCTTCAACGACCATGATAAAATCCGACAACCCCGACGCCTCGGATCGAAAACCCTGGACAATGTATGTTTTTTTCTGTTCATAGATGATGTAACCCTAAAAGGACTTGACTACCATAGATTGATTCCGAGAAAATCTAAAAACTTTAAGATCGGTGTGTGGCGAGTAGTGAAAGTTTTGAGCAAGGATTTGTATGAGAATCCTGCAATGAACGGCGTGATACCAAAATATTTAGTCCATAGGCTTTTCCCAAACTCAAAATTCAGCATTTGGATCGACGCAAAGCTGCAGCTAGTGGTCGATCCGTTGCTGTTGATTCATTCACTTCTTGTGTCTGAGAACGCAGACATGGCAATTTCGAAACATCCGTACTATGTACATACTATGGAGGAGGCAATGGCGACGGCAAGGTGGCAGAAATGGAGGGATGTTGATGGGTTGAAGAGGCAGATGGAGGCTTATTGCGAGAATGGATTGCTTCCTTGGACCCCGAGCAAGCTGCCTTATCCCTCAGGTAACCAAAGCACTTGCACACAATTAGTGCATTTCAAATCATGTCATCTTTCAATGTTTTGGGTGTTGTTTTTTAGTTGAAAGCTTCCACATGATATCATTTAATGATGTTGCTTTATTTTTCAACTGTAGAAAACGCTTTAGAAGCTAGAACCTGTGATCTATGTACAATAAGTAACTTGGCATGTTGATGATTTTTCTAAGGGTAGTAACTTTCACGCTCTTAGTTTAGTTTGTAGCACTCTCGTGAGTGTAAAAATATAATATTTAATTTGTAGTGCTAGAAATTAAACTGGGAATGCCAAAGTCACTAATCTTTCTTGAATCAATCCACTTTTACTAAATAGTCTTCGGATACTAATTAATCTTTTAAGTACACTTCCTTCATGTTATGTTTGAGAGTAAGCTTTTGGCTGAAGAGAAGTTTAGAAGTTCAAGCCGTGGGATGGTAATTAACTGTACATGTTCTGGGGTTTTTAAGATTAAAAAAAGAAAAACTAATGAAAATGGCTTGAAAATTTTCAATTTTAACGAAAATGACAAGATAAAGGGTAAAGTGAATAGTATTATGACTGACTTTTTAGTATAAAAATGTAGTTTTTAGTTAAAATAAACAGTACTGGGAGTTTTTCGTTAAAGTTCCCATTTAAAAATTGTACCACTTGGGTGTATAAATACAAGTGTCAAGGTTTTTTAAGATTATCAAATTGAACTACTTGGTCTGGCCAAAAGAAGGAAAGGAAAAGGTTAATGGGATGAATTGGTGTTTACGTAGACCTTGCATTTTTTAAGTCACATCAAAGGACTGAGTTTACAAACTCCCGAATTTCTTAATTGGATCTTTTGAAAACCTGTGATGCTAACAGCTAATAAGGTGCTTTCTTATGACAAATAGGAATACTTTATTTCTTGCGAGAAGAAGGTTGAAGTTTCTTGATCTTCTTCCCTTTCACTCCCTGTTATAACTTATTTCCAATGTCTTTTTGTAAAAACGAAAAATACTTTTTGAATATGTGGTCCAGAAATAGAAAGAAACTGTGTGATCCAATGTGGTCCTAGCAAGCAACTTGCAGTTTATTGCAGGTTAGAAGAAAAACATAGGTGTAACTGAGGATGTATCCCCATCTTTTTATTTCACTCGTCACTTGATGAGTGAGACAAAAAGATAGAGAATATAACTTTATATTACATTAATTCTTTGCATACAACAATATAATTTTACATATCACTTAAACATATTAATTTGTCAGTTGCGAGTTGCACATGCAAACAAGAGTTTTTGCTTGTTTTCTTCCCTTGTGCTTACATAAATTTTGCAGGCTGTTCATGCCAATGTGATTATCTCTTTCCTATTCTATTGTACAAGAGAAACTTCCTTATCCTTTGCTGTATATCACTCTCGTCTGGTTATCTCTCTATGACTACTCATATGACGAGGGAGGTCGTAAAGGACGGACATACAACAAGGGTTAAATCACTTTTCCGCAGTACGAAAACTAACAACTCAGTTATTGGTGTTTGACAGATGTACCGGACAGTGCTCTAATCCTGAGGAAGCATGGATTGAGGAGCAACCTATTCTCCTGCCTGTTGTTCAATGAGTTGGATGCATTTAACCCTAGAGACCAGTTGGCTTTTGCATACGTGAGAGACCTCATGAGCCCAAGGCTGAAGCTCAACATGTTTGAGGTCGAAGTGTTTGAGCAAATTGTCGTGGAATACAGGCACAACATCAAGCGTGAAGGTGGGGCCACTGAGAGCCTTGTGGGGTCCAAAGCCCCCAAAACCAGAAATACCGAAAGGCCAAGCCCTGATTTGTTGCATGTCAATGGCAGCTGCTGCAGCAAGTGCCAGAAGTATCTTTTGGAGATGTGGGGCGAATCATAGAGCTGATTTTTGTCTCTAGCTATAGGGAGTGCATGTTACGCACGCGGGGGAGCAGGGCAAAAGAGACAAAGTAAGGGAAAAGAACAGAAAATAAAACAAAGCTAGACAACAACCTTGGAGGCTTTAACTTGATGAAGGCCGACAAATAATGACAGGTTTTCCAGGGCCTTTTACTTTTCAAAATTTGATTATTCTTCTGGTGCGTATTGACAGGTCATGCAATATTCTAGAGAAAGCATGCAGGGGGGACCCTTCAGGAAAAGAAAATAAATAAATAAATAAATATTATTCATACTATGTTTTTGTATCATATTTTCATATCATTTAAGTAGCATTTGATATAGACATCCACATCATTTGAATTAATCAGATTTTTAAATTTAATTCATTATTTAATAAACTAATAATAAGAAAAACTAATTAATTAAATAATGATTGTGGTATACGAGGAGTCTTTCTCCTTTCTTTCTTTAGGTTTTGCAAATTTTTCAAATAATGTGGCTATCCATATCAAATGCCACCTAAGGTGGTATAAAAATGTAATATAAAAACATAGTATGAATAACATTACTCAAAAAAAAAAATTGTTTTTATACAGTGGTTGATCATAGTGGAATTCTGTAATGCTACCGGTTGTATATATTAATGTATTTTATGAAAATCATAACGTTTATCCAAACACATGGATTTATGCATCTGATGACAAACTGCCGGATCCTCAAATTAAATCCGTTCATTGTATATTGTGCAGTCAGAAATTATTGTAAATTCTTTTATTTAAAATTGAATATAAACAATACTTTACGAAAACTGACCGCACGATATACAATGAACGGATGTGATTGAATGATCCTCGAAATCCTCACAAAGAGGATATGGCGGGGATCCTCACTCATGACACACAACATTATATCTGAAAACTTGTACAGATCCATAATTCTTTAAAGGGAGTTTTAACAAAATACTTCCGGTACTGTTCACTTTTAACGAAAAACTACATTTTACCTTTCCTGATACTATTCACTTACACCTTTATTTGTCATTTTTCATAAAAACTAAAGTTTTTTTAGATTTTTCGTTAGTTTTCCTTTCTTTAAAAGTACCAACGCAGACAACAGTTCAAAAGCATGCAAAATTTGGTTCCTCTTTAGTGCCACTTGCAAATTTGCAGTGAGTAGGAGGAGGAGGAGCATTACAAGTATGTTGAAATCATGTCACTTTTGCACATCAACACCTGCCTTCATTATTTAATTTGTAGATTCTCAAATCTGGTTAAATCTGGTTTAAGGATTGGAGGGAAAAGTAAAGTTAATATTTGGCAAATGTATTCTATTTTTTCTACTCTGTTTTGTAAGAGAAATATATATAATACATTCGCCAAATATTTCTGTCCAAGGCAATAGTTGATTTCTTTCTTTACCGATTTCCATAGTGGCCAATTCTTTGTACATATACATATCTCAACTAAATGGGTATCATATATACAAATTATAGTTCTAATCACCATCTTCTGGAAATGGGAATTTATAACATCCTACATCGTCTAGGGGAGTGGATCCTGTAAGCCTTATATGTATATTCACATCTCTACCTAACACGAGGCATTTTAGGAGCTCATTGGTTTCGGGTTCCATGGGAACTTCGAAGTTAAGCGAGTAACGCGCGAGAGCAATCCTATGATGGGTGACCCACTAGGAAGTTTTCGTGTGAGTTCCCAAAAACAAAACCGTGAAGACGTGGTCGGGTCCCAAAGCGGACAATATCGTGCTACGGCGGAGTCGAGCCCAGAATGTGGCCGTGAGGACGTGGTCGGGGCCCAAAGCGGACAATATCGTGCTATGGCGGAGTCGAGCCCAGAATGTGGTGGGGGTTCGGGCCGGGATGTGACAGAATTCATGTTCGGATATATCGAAAGGGAGAGGGATGAGAGATTAATTAATCTTAAGAAATTTTTCATATACAATATATCTATAAACTATCTTTAAATAAAATTTTCATACAATATATCTAAGGTAAATTACATTGTACCACCTCAGGTTTGAATTCTATTACAACCTCATACAACATCTTCAAAACATTTTACTTTCATACCTCAAGTATTATTTTATTTCAATATAATACATCAGTTACATTTTCCATCTATTGTTCCATTAAGAGCTGACGTGGCTGCCACATTTGTGTCATGTGGCAAAAAAAAAAATTTTAATGCATTTAAAAATAATTAATTAAAGAAAAGTAATATATATCCTAGAAACCCATCCCTTCCCCTTCCCGCAACCCCCCACCCCACCTAGATTATCCAGATTTGTTCTTAAACAAATCACCCAGCTTTTCCATCGATTTTTCCTCGTTTTCTCGGCAACCAAACAGTAAATAACTCCAAAAATTCAATGGATTCCAACCCCAATTTTCCAGAATTCGAACCCAATAACAAAAATGCAGAAAATTCAAATTTTTGCAGAAGATTAAAACTTAAAAAATCTAGACCCAATGCCAAACAACTCCCAGTCAATTACCCCACCCTCCCTCTCTCCACCTTCTCCTCCACATCGAACTCCGTATTCTCCTCCATGACTGCGGGGCCTCGCTCGCTCTTGGCTCAACGGCCACGACGGTGGCTGAAGCGAGGGCAGCAGCAGAGACGTTGAGCTTGTCCAGGAGGTAGTCGGCGAGGATGTGGGCTTCCTCGAGGGTGAGGCTGGAGATGTTGGTGCCGAGCTTGTTGATTTTTTTTGGGGCTTCGACAGCAGTGAGGGGGTGGATGTGGGTGGTGTGGTGGGTGAGGGTAGGGGTTTGGGGGTTGAAGGGGAATTGGAGACTTGGTTTGGTGGAGTGGGAGGGAAAGGAGGAAGCGGCGGGTGTGGCGGGGAGGAGAAGAGGGAGGAGTGGGAGAGAAAAGGGAGAGGAGGTGAAGAGAGTGGAGGAGAAGTACGTCGGGGAAGATGGGTTTTAGGGTTTTTTTTTTTTAATAACTTTTCTTTAATTAATTATTTTTAAATTCATAATAAAATTAAATTAAAAAAAAATTGCCACATGGCACAAATATGGTAGCCACGTCAGCTCTTAACGGAACAATGGATGGAAAATGTAACAGATATATTATATTGAAATAAAATAGTACTTGATGTATGAAAGTGAAATATTTTGAAGATGTTGTATGAAATTGTAATAGACCTCAAACCTGATGTGGTACAATGTAATTTACCCATATACTATCTTTCATGATATTTAAATTCAGTACCTCGTTAAACAAATCAGTAGAGCTTGAGTGTTATTAAACTTATGTGACATTACCTCAAAACAAAGTCCTATATATCACATTACCATAATGTAGTACTCACAATAAAAAAAAAATAAAGAAAAAAGCTACATTTTTGTTATGTAATTTGTATGAAATCGCATAAATATGTATATAAGCGATCAGAGAGAAGATAAAAAATATGGTAGAAATAGAGGGTAAGTGTAGTACTTTTCATATTTCTATCGTTTCGCCTAAAAAATCTTTTTTTTTTTAATACATCGATATTTTTACACTAAGAGGAGGAGAAATCCGGCTAAGCCACACAATGGGCAACCTAATTTGATATCGAATTCGCTATCCACGAAATTCAAACCTCATACCTTTTACTAGAAAAAAATATATCAGACTATAGTACTGAGTGACGCCTAAAAAAATCACTTACATACGAAAGAAAACTATAGCCAACCCTACTATGACCCTCCATCCCATGCATGCAAATTCTTATTAGCCAGAAACATCAATCCATCTGAGTTTCCATTCTCTCTCTCCCTCTCTCTCTCTCCCCCTCTAAATACACAAATGTCAGCCCAACAAATCGCGAGCCACAGAGAGGACGCCGAGATCTACCACGGCGAGGCCCTGTGCAGGCAGAAGTCCCGCGAGCTGCCCAACAAAATGTGCCTACCACGTGGCCTCCTTCCCTTGGACGACGTCGTCGAGTTTGGCTACAACCACACCTCCGGCTTCGTCTGGCTCAAGCAGAAGAAGAGAAAAGAGCACCGGTTCCGCGCCATTTCCAAAACGGTGTCGTATGACACGGAGGTGATGGGGTTCGTGGAGGAGCACCGGATGCGGCGGCTCTCCGGGGTCAAAAGCAAAGAGCTTCTGATTTGGGTCTCCATTTCGGATATCTACGTCGACCCTAATTCGGATCTGGATAAGATCACGTTCACTAACGGCACCGGATTGTGTAGGTCGTTCCCCGCCACGGCGTTTGGGCTTGAAGGAGAAGAGTAAAACGGCGACGGTGACGGGAGAAAATTAAAGCTTAATTAAAGCTTTTAATTACGAGATTGAATAAATTTTCTTTTTATTAGTTTCATTTCATTTGTGTATGTATGATTTTTGTGTAGGGCCAACTAGGATAACCAACCACAACATGATTATCAAATTAAATTATGTTTCTCTTACATGTTTTGTTTGGTATTAGTTGATCAAATGAATTTGTTTAAGGATGCGTTCGATGAGAAATTCTTTGTGAAAATTTATGCTTCTGAAATTCAAAAGCCTCCACCCACTTTGAAGTTTGAGCTGATTTCACTTGATTGAGTCTTAATATCGTGTATAAAGTCATAATTAGATAAGATTTTCTTAACATCTACTTAGTTTTCTTCAACTTTCGATTTTAGGGTATAGAATGGTCGTCATTTAGGAGAGATTTTTTAGTATGTCGGGAATACGGGCTTGTACACCAAGTGTCATAGTACAATTGGTTGGAGATTTTTTTTTTTTTTCCAGTTTCTAACTACTTGTATTATGTCACTTGGTGTACCAAGTCGTTTTCCTGTCACATTGAAAAATTTCTCATTCAGAGCACTGATTTTAAGTTTAAAATAACAAAATCATAGTAATAACCACTTTTCAAGAAAGTAGCAAGCTACATTTAGAGTTAGGTTTCTGTTACTTCAGTGGCAAGCAATTTGCAGCCACAGCTTTGCATAAATTATAAATCCAATCCTGCACTTAATTTCCTCCCACCACCAGCTCTTGATCCTTCCCAAACAATTCCATTCTTCGACACTAATCGAAAGTCATTGAAACAACGTTGAGATTTACCACGGTGAATCTCTGTGCAAGCAAAAGCTCCGTGAGCTGCTGGAGGAACTCGCTTTGCCCAAAGACCTCTTTAGAGCAGACATCAATGAGATAGGCTACCACCGGCCCTCAGGCTTTGTGTGGCTGAAGCAAAAGAAGAAAGAGTGAGCACAAATTGAAGGCCACTGGCAAGACCATCTTTTACAATGCTGAGCTCACAATGGTGGTTGAGAAAGGTGGGATTAAGCAGCTCAAGGGTTGGACCGCTAAGGAAACCAATGGCCTGAGCGGGACATGCCCAGCTTCGGCATTTAAGGACAAAGATGATAACTGAGGGTGATCCGAAAGACAAGCACTGAAGTCTTTGCTTTTACTACTTAGGTCTTCAGGAAAGTCTTAAGTTTTAACGTACATATAATAAAGTCTGGTGTTATCAGCTTGTACTGGATTATATATTGCTCCTCACCCAATAAGTTCGTCTTGATGAATCAATTCCTTATACTTTGTGAAGGACGAAAGAACAAAACCCTGGTGTCGGCTCTTACAAGAAAAATAGCATCAATTTACAATGCATATCAGATGTACGCAGACTTCTGGCAGGAACAGTTGATAAATCCTCCTTTCTCGATCCATTTGTTCAAACTGTAAATCTTACTTCAACATTAAATTCAACAACGAATCCGCAGAAGCATCTCAATAAACTTCACTCGAGTCCTCAATTACTGGTGGCTTGGATCAGAGAACTAAATTTTATTGTGGAAATGATTTCTTGCTAAGCAAACCACACTAAGGAAAATCATTGAAGGAAACTTGGTCCATAATCCATATCATCACTTCTGACATTTGTGCTGAAATCTGGTCCTTTCCTGCTTTTTTCACCTTCAATCGTGCATAGTCCTTCGGTCCAGCAACAATTGAAAGCAGCTTGACTCAGAAAGAAGTATAATATCGGAAAGTTGACATCCCTTCATGAAACGGACACTATAAGCATTCCAAGCAGTCCAGCAACAATTTAAAAGCAGCTTGACTCAGAAAGAATTGGAAAGTTGACATCCATTCATGAAACAGACACTATAAGCATTCCAAGCAGGTGCCCTACCCCGTTCAACTCTCGATCAAGTTTCATTTTCCATTCTCTAATAGAATGAATCATGAGGCACAATCTTTTCTTGTTTCTCTTTCTTCCCTAAGCTTATAGTTCCGAACCCCAAGGGTTTTGAAATCCCACAGAATTTCAGATATCTCATCTTAAGGCAAAATTAAACCATCTCGTTTAATCGATCTATGCAAGGCACAAAAGAATTTTGGGCCTTCATGTCTGATGTAGTCACGTAAGAGCTGCTCATGAGCGGGTACCCAATTTCTAGGAAAAGGGGAGTAATCACAAGATGGAATCAGAGACATGTGAGAGAACCGAACACCTTCGATTGGATCAACAAGTCCCACCCTCAATAGATCAGAATACTCGGGTGCAGATTGTTGCTGCTCTCCCTCAGTGGACGACTGAGATCGCATGAAACTATTCCATTCACCTTGGCCCGTGATTTTAGTCTATACCTTGCAGCGTACAGTTTAGCCAAAGAGCTACATATAACATAGGCACAAAACCCAACAACTTTCTTGCGATTATCAGCATACTTGTACCAATCAACCATGGTCTCTAACAACTTATTCATCTGGGAATTGGTATGAGCTTGACCAGAGTAAAGCATTGGAGTGCAGGGCAGTGGCTCAGGATCTTTATCGCCCTTAACAAACTCAAGCCGCCTGAATTGGCGAATACGTTGTTGTAAGCTAGCAGTAACCGAAAGCAGAGTCGCTACACCTTTTTGGCTCACAACATTGCCTCCAGTGGCTGTGTACCTAAGCGTGGGGTGTATAACCCTGCGGGAAATTATATGGTCTAAGAACTGAATTCCCCTAGTTATGTGCTCAATCTCCACCTTGGAGTTATCCAACCTTATCCCAAATCTTCTCTCACAAAACTCGATTATTTGCTTACGAATATCCATTGCATCCTCTCTGGGCCCTCGAATACCAATCAAGAAATATCCCCCGTATCAAATACAATCCATTTTTCTAGTTTTCTCATTCCCACAAGAAAGAACAAACTCGGGCCAAGACGGGTTATGACAACCATCGTTTATCAAAGTTTTCCAAATAGAATCGAGACTATATGGCCTTAAAAACTCAACTATTTTATCTTCTATAACCTGATCCAATTCATTAAGACAAACATTAGCAAGTAAAGGACTCAAAATTTCACAATGTCCATAAGAAGGTACCTTAGCAGCCTCTTCAGGTGCAAAATTGAAAAACGCTATCAGCCAATACGGGTCCGGCTTCGGCTCCTTGTCGTTCAAAATCGTCTTCTTCTTCTTAGCCACTTTCTTCTTCTTTCTGTTCTTCCGCCATTCCTCATTACCATCACTCCTTTTTCGATTCGGTGCTCCGACAGGCGATTGGATCAAACCCAATATTTTTCGGTCCCTCACGGCCTGCTCTAAGCACCCCATTACGCAATTCCTATCCACATTGTCAAAAATCTCACTGATATCTCCTTTCAGAACCCACAAGTACCCGGCGAAGTTGCTCCGGATGGTCCGAATAACTGTGTGGGCATTCCTTCCCGGTCGAAAAGCGTGGGACTTTGGTGAAAACCGGGCCTCGAAAACAGGCTCCAATATCATCAAAAGGACCTCCTGAACGACCCGGTCTTGGAAGCAGGGCTCGTCGGCCTCGAGCATAGCCTGGAGTTTACGCTTAGGTACCATCTCTTTGCTGGGTTTGTCATTGGGGCTTCGAATGTACTGCTGGGTCTTCTTGTTCCAGGAGAAACTCCCCCGAACAACGGCGTTTCGGAGGGAGAGGAGGTCATGGAGGACGTGGGAGTGGATGGCGCTGCGGGGCGGGAACGTGCCGGTCACGTGGGCGCAGGAGCGCTGGTAGGCCATTACCCAGAGATCAAATTTGGAGAGGAAGCCGGTGAGGTTGGGGAAGGCGACGGTGGGCGGGGAAGAGAATGACTTGACCCACAGAGAAGAACAGATTTCGATTGGGTCTTGCTTGAGGAGCGAGTACGGGTCTTGCTGGTCTAGCTTTGATGGCGGTGGCTTGGGCGACGGCGGCGGGGTGGAGAGCGACCATGAGAGAGAGCGAGTCAGGGCTTTGAGGACTGGGGACTGGGGACTGGTGGCACTGCAGGTGTTTGATGGAAGTTCTCACTGACATTTTTTTGGTTGGGTTGAAGATGAATTGAGGGGTTGTCTGAAGACCCTCCTTCCCTTCACTTTTGGCTGGTTTTGGACCGTTGGTACTTTGGTAGTTACACTATTTGAGATTGGAGTGGATTTTTGCTCACCACCGTTTACGTGGTATATGTTTACCATCCTATTTATTAGCATTATATGAGTTTGAATTTTAAGATTTGTTTTTATTCACTACATGAATCTCAAAATTCAAACTTATCTAACGATGATAAATAGGGTGATGAGTAGACATCACAACTAAATAGTGGTGCGCAAAAATGATCTCTTGAGATTGGAGGGACTTGGTCTGGGCTTTTGTTGGCCTTGAGCTTGACTTATTATTGGATTGGATCATATTTTTTAGCCAGGTTAGGCCGTCGGACTAGGTCATCCAAACGTAAGCTCACCTTATCGGGAGATCGGAAAGACTCACAAAAGCATTTAACTTTTCCCTAACCATCATTGTGTGATTCACATGCTTTTGATTTCATGAGTTAATACATGAGTCATAATAATTTCAATACCCATGTGTATAGTAAGCGCATTGAAAGCACGTGACTGAATACTTTTAATACTCATTCCAGATAAATAAACATGTGATAGGTGAATAATTATTCATTTTGCGAGGGTTATAAGGGATTAGAAGACGAATGAAACTTATCTGTTTCAATCCTGTTATTTTGTGGAGACTAAGAGGGATAAATTTAGCACAACCGATAAAATCCCATGTAAATTAAGTAAACCTTCAGTCTACTTCCTAACTCTAAAACTATTTTCAATTCAAGCACACAAAAAAGTAGAAGGAGACAAGGCCAACATGTGAACCAAAAAATAAGGGAATTTTGTATCCTATATACGTATAGATTTGCACGCAGGAACATTGACATATTGCAAAAGAAAGAGAGCCCGTACCATTCCATGCATGGAGTACACGTTACGAAAACTTCAACAACCCTTTTTTGTATGGGGAGAAATGCGCCCCCTCATAGGCTCATACGATGCACATTCACATGCCCTCTTCCTATTTTCCCGCGGCTTAAATTCTCACACTCACTCACAAAGCACCAGCACCGCATGGACTTGCTGTATAATCTAGGAGAAATCAAACATGCCCACATCTGTATATATATCTCAAAAGGTAACAGACATCTCAGCTACCTTATGTCTCAAGATGCACAACACAATTAATTATTAATTATTAAGGGGAGAAAGTTGAGTACACTATGGATTCTTTTTTTGGGAAAAGTTCTAAAGTTTCAATACACAACAAGAAAATTGGTAGAACTTGCCAATTAACTTAATTTGTTAACGCACCTGACTACAGAAATTGAAATTGAGAAATTTGGAATCAAAGTGATGAAAATTGTTTTCCACCCTAACTCTAATTACCAAATGTGTGTTTTACCCTCGAAATGACATAAACACGTATTTTCTGATAATTTTCTTGACATATATCAATATATATCAATGCTGTAACTTCTGTTATTATATATGGTTTATTACACGGCTAACAAAAAAGTGTTTACAATTGATCATGCGCCACCAGAATCTGCAAACCCTAGCGCTTCAAGCAAAAAGGCGGGTGAAAGATCCGAAACAAAATTCACCAAGAAATTCATATAAAAGTAGAAAACTAACAGAAGATGAAAGAAAAAGTACGTAGTAGTTAGTACGCCGCTCCATCGATCTCCGTCATTTGTTTCATCATCACCTGGCACGTACGTGCGCGGAACAAACTGAAACAGCGCGCGGGTAGTTTAGGGTTTTGCAGAAGTGGGAGCGAGGTCGCAGAAGAAAGCGACGGAGTTGGGGTACGCATTCTGGCAAGGCGACGAACCGGAAGGCGGAATGAAACCCTTCGGCAGCATCACCGAGAACGGCCGCGTTTTGAAGTCTTTCTTGGTCGTCGTCTTCTTTCTCTTCTTATTCCTGTTCTTCTTGTGCCGCATCCTTCTGTGCTTCTTGATCTGTTCTTGCTTGTCCAGTTCAAACGGCGGCGTGTTCTTGATGTAGAACACTCGGTATTGGGGGGTGGGGGCGGTGGGAACGGCGGCTGGTGGGGACTGAAGTTGGATTTCGTGGGGTTTTGGTGAGGTGGAGGTAGAGTTGAAGGAGGAGAGAGCGGAAAAGGAGGGTGTGCGGAGGAGGAGGAGGAGAAGGAAGAGGAAGGTGCAGATCATGCAGTTGAAGGTGATTTGAGTGTTACAAAAACCCATGCGAGAGTTGAGAAGCATTGGGGTTTTGTGCACTTATGGTGAAGAAAAATGAAATTTGGAATTTGATATTGCGGTTGAGAATTTGAGAGGTGTGTAAATCCCAAGAAAGCTTACACTATATGTAACCAACACCTGCGTTCTAATAAATAAAAGGATCGATCGTCAAACCAAGTAATGGGATATATAAAAGACATTTTAAGATATTTTTTCGTTTTTTGTAACCGTTTGATCAAATTTCAATACCCTGGATCTATTGGTCGGGAAGCTCAGTTTCAAAGGGTCCGAAGGGGATCTAGTTCCCATTTACAAAACTCCATATTTTGAATTCATTAGCGAGCTTTAGTTGGTTTGCGTTTTAGGAAAGATTGGTTACTCTCATAATCAGTGGCAGAGTATACACACAATTTCAAGTCAAAAGGACTTACGCGTGACACTAAACTGTCAATTGCTACTTATATGGATTTACGTACACAAACGCGCATCAACGAACCGCTTGCACGACTTGAACTTTAGTGGGGTGACTTACAAGACATAAACCTTACCAATTGACCCAACCCTCGTTGGCAATTCATTAGCTGTTTTTGGCTTTGACAAAACAACAATATAAACTACCAAGAAGATAATTCGAGTTCAGGGTGTAAGAGACGAGAAGTTTTTTAGTATGTGAGAAACATGGGCTGGTGCACTAAGTGGTATAATACAATGGTTGGAAACTTAAAAAAAAAAATATTCCAACTAATTGTATTATTATACTTGGTGTACAAGGCCACATTCCCTACACACTGAAACATCTCTTTGACAAGTAGACATACTATTTTTTTTTTATAATACTAGGGAAACCATATATTTAAATTATATTTTATAAATCACATGACGTAATTGGTGATGATTGAATTGTTGATTAACATGCTTATTTTCGATTGATAAAACATCACATATTTTACAAATTTATTCTAAAAAAATTGATTTTCCTAACTATCATTTTAAAAAGGAAAAACTAATGAAAATAGCTTGAAAACTTTGAGTTTTAACGATAAGGACAAAATAAATAGTAAAGTGAATAGTACCAAGATTGACTTTTAGTGTAAAAATATGATTTTTTGTTAAAATGAACAGTATTAGGAGTTTTTCGTTAAAGTTCCCTTTTTAAAATACAATAGACACATTATATAGATTAATAGAATAGACATAACGCACATCATATGACCAAATAATACATGAATAAAAAAAGGGAAAACGAATGAAAAATGCTTGAAAACTTTGAGTTTTAATGATAAGAACAAAATAAAGGGTAAAGTGAATAGTACCAGGATTGACTTTTTAGTGTAAAAATGTGATTTTTCGTTAAAATGAAGAGTACCAGTAACTTTTCTTTAAAGTTAGGGGTGATTCGTTATGGGATACCAAACCGAAACCTTAGTCCCAATTCCCAAACCGAAATTTTCGGGATTTCCATTTTAAGACCGATCCCAAACCAAATTTTCGGGAATCCCGAAATATTTTTGGGCTTTTTGGCTTTATCAAAATTTAGATGTGGTTGTGCAATGGAAAATCATGTATATATTCCAAATCTGCACAGCATATCTTGGCTGTGCAGTGGAAATCATGTATATATATTGCAAATCTGCACTGCACATCAGGAAAGACAGCAACCTTGTTAATCTATGTTTCAAGCATCATTAAGAACATTCAATTTTGATAATTAAGGGGAAGAAGGCCCTTTCAATTTCATTATGCAATATCATTAAAGTGTGAAATTCATTGGTTCAACCCAATCAATTGTGCTTAAGCTACTAAAATGATGTTAAGTGGAAAACGTTTAGAAATAGAGAAGAGGAAAGTCTACTCAACATACTCCTGCATTATCTAATGTTTTCATGTTCAGCATAAATTGGCAGGCATTCATCGCTTCTCAATGGAACAAAGTTCCAAGAATCTGAAGGAATCAATAGAAATTCTATGTTTGATTTATATTTAACAGTTGAGATTAAATCTCAACAGAATCTGACAGCTATTAAAATTCTAAATATATATTTAAAAATTAAATAATATATATATTTTTCGGTTCAATTCGGGATTACCGAAATCCCAAAAACTTGAGACCGATTCCAGTACTGAAATTTCGAGATCGATTCGGTATTGGGTACCGAAATTTTTGAGATTTTCGGTTTGATTTTTAGAATTTTTCTGTTCGGTTTGAGATTTTTGGTATTTTTTTTCCAGCCCTATTTAAAGTTCCCATAAAAAAACCCAAATACATTTCATTCTCATTGACCCAAATTGACTGACCAAAATTAACTCTCTCTCTCTCTCTCTCTCTAAATACACTGGTGAGCAAAAAACTGGAGAGAGAAGGAGCCAAAAACCGAAATCCAACGTTCTCCCTCATTTTCTCGCGAAATCAGGTTCCCGCGGGATTTCGATCCAATCCGCCGCACGGCGCTTCTCAGCCCCCGATTAGAGGCGGAGCTGAGGACTGAGAACGGAACCTTAAGGCGGCGGCGACGACGATCGGATCGATCATGTCGTCCAAGTCTCTACCTTACTCCAAGAAAGATGTCCACTACGACAACGCCAAGTTCCGCCATCGCTCCTTCTTCAAGGTCTTCCATTCCTCAGCTCTCTTCCATTTTCTCCAACTCCGATTCATGATTGATCGCGATTAGTTCTGCAAATTGATTGAATTTATTGTCTTTTCATAGACCTGAAATTTCAATTTTCTTACATTCTGGAGATTAATACATTTATGATGCTCCTTGTTTTCAAATTTCATTTTTCAACTTTCAATTTGTTTATGGACGAATTTAATAGCTCAATTTATGAACATAATCACATTTAAACCATTATTTTCTCAAATTTTCATATCTCTGTTGTAAATTCTTTTGCTTTCTAATTATCCTGTTAAACCAATTAAGTTTCTGTTTCTTGTTTCCCAGGTGATAACTCAAAACTTGCACACCAGTAACGTAAAGAATCATTGTATGAGTTGTAGTACGGGAAAGTTTCTACTTTTACTAATGATATTCGGTGTAGCGTATCTTATGCTCACACATACAAGTCCCACCACTGATGGATTAGTGAAAGGTAGTAAGAATGGTACGTATGAGCACATTACGAGTGGCGGCATTAGGTTTGGAAATATTTTCCGAAAGCCTCCAAGGCTTCCTCCTCAGTTGCCGCCTGACGTAAAAGGTAGTCGTGGTAACACTGGTCTTGATCATAGGAAGTTAAATTCTGACTTGAAATGGATAGCTAGGCAACAAAATGTGAAGAAGGCATTTATTCATGCGTGGTCAGGATATAAAAAGTATGCAATGGGTTATGATGAGTTGATGCCCGTGAGCAAGCGGGGGGTTGATGGGTTAGGTGGTCTAGGTGCAACTATTGTGGATGGCCTTGATACTGCCATGATAATGGGTGCTGACAAAGTTGTTTCTGAAGCTGGTTTATGGATTGAAACACACCTTTCAAATAAGATTAATCAGACTAGCCAAGTCAATTTATTTGAAACTACAATACGTGTTTTGGGTGGTCTTTTGAGCGCATATCATCTGAGTTCTGTGGAAAATGGGATGGACTCAACACATAAAGGACCTAAGCCAGTTGTTTATCTAGAAACTGCTAAGAACTTGGCTGACCGTCTACTAGCTGGTTTTACTTCCAGTCCAACTGCTATTCCCTTTGGTGATGTTGTTCTTCGAGATCCCTCAGCGCATCCAGCTCCTGATGGTCGTTGTAGTACTTCAGAAGTGTCTAGTTTGCAGCTTGAGTTTAATTATTTAAGTTCAGTTTCTGGTGATCCAAAGTACACTGTGCAATCTATGAGGGTCTTGGAACACATAAAGACTCTACCTAAGGTGGAAGGACTGGTACCCATATTTATAAGGTATAAGTCTGGAATATTATTCTAATACTTGCATCATTATTCTTTTCAATTTCTTAATTCTTGTTTATAAGTCTAGCGTCATGTTGACATTTTCCTTGTACTGAGGAGAGCTTTTCTGTGTCATTAACGCCGCAGAAATGATTAATACTTTTCTCGAATGATGATAATCTTTTGCATATCTAAGTTGATTGAAACATTTATATAGTTGGGTCATGGAAATATAAATGTAGAGCTGAGAATATGAAAAGGATCCCCCATTTCTTATCTAAGAGCGAAACATATGTAAGAGTGTACTTCTTTGTTCTTTATGAGAATTGCTCAACTAGTTGATTTCATGTAGCCTACATATAACATATAACTGCAACATCAAATGGAGTTTTGGATGTTTGACATAGACGTAATAGCTTCAGCAGTAAAATTATCTCTTCATCTTCTGTTTCTGGACAATGTGTAGTCAGCGTCTCCCATGTCTTATTGATTTTCTCTTTGTTTATTAATTTACCATCTATTTAATTGTTGATGTTGTCTATACTGTCTGCAGCCCTAGAACTGGTGAGTTTAGTGGAGAAAATATAAGACTGGGATCTCGTGGTGACAGCTACTATGAATACCTACTGAAAGTTTGGCTTCAGAAAAATCGGGAAAGTAATTTTACGTATCTCCATGATATGTACGAGGAAGCAATGAAGGGTGTCAGACACCTTCTTGTTCGGAAATCAATCCCAAATGGATTGGTTTTTGTAGGGGAATTGCCTTTCGGAGCTGATAGTTCTTTTAGTCCCAAAATGGATCACCTGGTATGTTATACTTTACAAATCTTTGGCATTTAGATAGCTTATAGGTTAACTAGCCTTCGTTATTTTTGCTCTAAGTTCTAAGTCAGAGAAGGAAAAGTTTGACTAGTTGGACATCATGTTGCTCCACATAGGACGGTGACGTGTAGGTGGCATTGAATATACTTAATCATAGTTTTGACATCTAGCTTTATGAATTGATTTGCTTATTGTGTTTAAGGATTCGTGTTGGGATTATATACGAGAAAGAAATTCAATAACAATCTCTTTGTTTTCTACATTAGGAAACAAGAAGTGATAAATTAATTACCCATTATTATCAGGAAACGGTCCACTAAAAATTGTGATGGTGAATTCTGTCGTCATCCTGCTTTGTGAAACCTTCTAACTTATTAATTTAAACTGACTGTCAATATTTAACTTTATATTCTTTCTAGTTGTAAGTATTTTGCACAACCACAACATACATGTATGTTTAGCTTTTTGTGTATCCTGGAAAAGCACTTACCTGTCACTTGAATGATGATCATCATCCTTGCTCTTTCGGAAATGGGTCTTAATATGACATTTCGTACTGCCTTTTGCAGGTATGTTTCTTGCCTGGCACTCTTGCACTCGGTGCCACAAAAGGCCTTACCAAGGAAAAAGCAATGAGAAATAATATGCTTAACTTTGAGGACCTGGAAAATTTGAAACTCGCAGAAGATCTGGCTAAAACATGCTTTGAAATGTATTCAGTAACCTCTACTGGTCTTGCTCCAGAAATTGCTTACTTCCATACAGAGGTTAGTTTTGGATCTACTTGAGCTATTAAGATACGTCAGTTTTTTTTTTTTTTTTTTGGGGTGTTTTTTAGCCTTTTCAACTTTCTACTCTCTGTGTTCAATGGAGGGACTTAGAAAATTTCTCTTATTGAAGCAGGAATTTTCTGAAGGAGGTCTTGACGGTGGTAACAAGAGTTCTCAATATATGAATGACATAATCATCAAACCTGCTGATCGTCATAATCTCTTGCGTCCTGAAACTGTGGAATCATCAATGTTTGTATTGTACCGGATCACGGAAGATCCAAAGTATGCTTTTACTTTCTTTCTTATGTATCCATGAGTTTTATTCCCCCTTAAATAACACACGCATAGGTTAATATCCCCTCTTGGAGCACTTTTCACTTATATACTTGAACATTGCAGATATCGTGAATGGGGTTGGCAGATTTTCGAAGCATTTGAGAAATATACAAGGGTTGACACTGGTGGATACAGTTCTTTGGATGATGTAACTTCAGTTCCTCCTCATAAAAGAGACAAGATGGAGACGTTCTTTTTGGGCGAGACTCTGAAGTACTTGTACTTGCTGTTTGGAGATAGTTCTGTTATTCCATTGGATAAATTTGTTTTTAACACAGAAGCTCATCCTATTCCAATTGAAGGCACTGCCAAAAGGGGATAAAACTTTGTTGCATTAAAGCATCGATTCAAAGGAAGGAAAGTCTGTATGGACAAATTATACGGTAGCAGGCTGCAAATGTGCTTTTTCAGACTCACTGGTGTTTCATGCATGTTTATAGAGTATATCTGATTCCGGAAGACAGTAAATACCCTGGTTGAAGTTTTAGAGGCGGCTTAGTTCGTTTCTTTTCTTGTGCAACTCATCGGTGATTCTTCTACGTGATAAAGATACAAGAGCTGGAGAAGAATGAGAAGATTGAAATATGTAGTTCGTGCTATTTTACAATTTTGATTAATTACCTGATGGGGTTTACCCATCGAAAGTATCAAGGGCCATATTCTGTAGTGCACTTTTTTACTTCTCCAGTAGCATTACTGGCTTCGGGGAACGAAAATTTATGTTCCTATCTTATTATACATTGCCTAAAAGGTACAAGTTATATTCATATTATTATAGTCGTTGTGAAGAAGATACAGGTGATCACCATCTCGGACAACACTTATGTCATCTATTTCTGCATTTTCTTCATTAACGACTTTTGTAGGTTTGTATCCTTCGAACTTCTCACCTGCAATGTCATAAAGAGGGAGACCAACTATGCTGTTACGATATGTTTGATTCTGCTCAAGGTATGTTTTTAACATTCAATTTTGGCTTTAATCCGTTGAATGTTGTCTAACCTATAAGAACTTTAAATTTAGATTTGTCTAAATGTGCTTTTTTAGGTAAGAAAAAGAAAGCTTACCAGCCACTCTGAGAAGCTCTTCCATCGAATCAGGTAGGATTATTAACTTCGCAAGCTGCCTCTCCAATGCACTTCCATTTTGAAAATGCATGTGGATAGTTACTCTCTTGTTGATTGATCTCATCCGTTCTTTATCAGGGATAGAATTGCTCGGGTAGGACTTAATGGGTACTTTTCTCTGGTGAGAGTGGGAAAATTGGGCACCCTCGTGTCTTTTGGAATTTCCTTTACAATTCCTGGTTATTTCAGATGTTTCCGGTTCAATAAACTCTATTCTATGTTCATCTGTTCTCCTATTCTCATATCTTCGTAATAGGTCAGTTATGCTCTTGTTTCCTTGCTGTTGTGCTAGATCTTTCGGCGTCCATCCTCTAGCATCTGGTTTGTTTACATTTGCTCCTCCTTCGACCAAAATTTTGACCATTTCCAGATGTCCCCGATGAACAGCAGTGTGAAGAGCTGTTTGGCCATCCTCAGCCATCATGCAGACATCCATTGCACATCTCGTTGAATTATCAGCTCTGCCTATTTCGCTCTTTTTTGTAGCCTCTGAACCTGTAAACAAGTCGTTCCTTGCTTCCTCCATTGATGGATCTTGACGTGAGTTGTCTTTACATCCAGCGCAAGAACAGCATCCTTCGGTATGTGGATATTCACAGCCCAACCCTTCTTGTTCCTTCAGTTTCTGTAAAGTAGAGTACGGAAAATATAAGTCTTTGGAAGAGAAGGGTGGTGTGCATGACTGCATGTACATTTTTATGAAAACAATTTTGTTTCGGTACCAGAAAAATGTTGTTCATGATAATTTGCTCGTCGTCCTTATTTGCTTCTATGGTGGTCATGAGTGAACTTTTGCGGAGTCGTAGTATCTGGGAAAGTTCGGTTGTCCGAACGGTGAAAGGCTGTGGCCTATGACATAATACTCCGATTTCTCCCAAAGTATCCCCCGCAGTTGCCTTTCGTATAAACTGTTTAGAGTATGTCAAGTCAGATATTAACTCCTACATGTACTCCGATTTCACAGAGCACATTGAAATGTTCAATAGTAAGAATCAGGTTCGCATTTGCGGGATGTCAGAGCCAGTCGACCCGAGAGTGTATTTCCGGTCAACGGGCCTCTCACATTCCGCAAAATGGGATCCCGTTTTTGGAAGGGTCTGTTTACACATGTATGCGTGACTTACTTGATCTTGCCCATCAACACTGGACACCAGATCCTGCAACCATGAATTTTTCCGATTGAACTCCATGTCAGAAAGCATTTTTAAGAATGTTACGAGATTATGTAAGAGGTAAGAGTTAAGCCGGCTCACCGCCGCACCGGAAACCAGTATATAAAGATCGGTCGGAGCCTCGTTTTGCAGAATTACATCTTCCTTGGGTGGAAAATACTCTGCATCTATTTCTGAAACCTTAATAAGAGAATACATGGTTTTAGCATCTTGAGATAAACAAGGCTTTTTATCAAAATTTGTTCGTGAAAAATCTGGTAATATTCTTGTGACAATTATTCTTGTTAAATTGTCACGTAAACGACCTCATGACCATTTTTCAAGGGTATTTCTATCAAACCAACCCCTTCACTTAATAAGGATATTGATAGATTTTTCACGTAATGAAATTAATGTACAATGGACAAACTCAGAAACCACTTCTATTGATTTTCAATTTCAAGGATCAAAGCAAGTAATTATGTCAATCTCAATAACCATTGTAACTAAAAAGCCGATAAACAATAAAATGTTGAGACACACTATTGTCGACAAACTATCTAATACAGGTGAGCCCTATCATCGAGACCCACTTCTATATGTGAGAGTGTCAGTAATATGGTCCGTTTTGTATCTGAATAACGTTACTCAGTGAGAATAATTATAAGTCAATATGATGATTTTACCAATTGAAAGAGGAAATCATGAGAAACTCCTTGAAAGAGGTAGATGTTTTGAACGACGGGGAAGAAGAGATGTTGGGCAATGCTGGAACGAAGGGCTTTCGGGAGACCATTTAAGGTCTCTTGCTGTTTCAGTCCTTCTGTCTTAAACTTGAGGCATATGTGTGACAACATCTGGTCTTGAATCGTTGGGGGCAAGTCGTTTCTTGCTGCAAATTCTGATGCAGCTCTCACTGTGTCCCTCTATCAACACCAAAACCAAAGAAAACACAATTAATATAGGTGTATTATGGGTAGAAACTAGTAGCGTTTTGTCTCGGTGTGGAAAGATTTTGCCTTATCGCTGAGGTTATACGCTCATGCAAGTATCTCACATTCCTTAACAGCTCACCATTGATCCACCAGCCGTCTGGGTTCCACCCGACCGCAGTGGAGAAGTTTCAGGGAGTTAGGTCACTCAATGAATAGATAACCGACGAGTGGGAAAAGAATTAGATCCCCCTCAAAAGAATAGAGATAGTGAGACACTCACATGTGTGTATATCACCGGTGACACCCAAGATTTTTTCTTTCGGGTTGAGTAATATATGAAAACTAGAGGTGTACATTTGTCCCATGGAGATTGGGGACGTATAACTACTAATAATTAATATTTTTTATGAGTTAGGTTAGGGTTTGAAGAAACACTTTCAAAACGTGGGGTAGCAAGAGAGGATACAAAGGAAACATTTCCAAGTCTTTCTGCAGGCAATATATGGCCATGGGGACCTTTTCCTAAAACTTTGATTGCGACTGGGGGTTTATTTTGGTCCATTCAGAAGTAGAAACCTCCCCCGGAAGCTACTGATCTATTTATTTGCTGTATTAAAAACCCAAGAGCCGAAAGGAGGAGGAGTAAAACTTACAAAGATTCTGGTTCTGCTGGTCCAGTGAACTACAAGATTTGTCATGTTTCCAATGAGGTAAGATGTCAATCCCAAGTTGAAGAGCATGTAGAAAATATCAAACATCATCTCTCTAGGGTTCTCAGCATGCAGATCTCCATAGCCAGTGGTGGTTAGCGTTGTGATTGACCAGTACATTGAAGTAACATATCTATTCCAGAGACTATCTTGTTTGAAATCCGGGTACACAGCGCCGATCCATGTTCTTTTCGGGTCAGGATACCGATCTGCGATCAGATAGTTGAAACATCCTGCGCAGTGCACTGCGAAAAGGGTAACCTGAAATTTGACAGGACAGAAGTTTTGATGCCAACCAAGTTCGAATTGGTGAAGAGAAAAATGACAAGAATTGTGATGCGCTTATGGGGTTTTTCGGGACTTACAGAAATGAGCTTCGTGCAGCGAATCCAGAAGTAGTTGAATCGGATGTCCTTCTCCAGTCTGAAGTCAGCACAAATCGGTTTGTAAGTTTGTGTGTGTATTCTGATAGTTTTATGACAATTGGAAAGTTCGGACAAAAAACAAAGGTGAAGGAAGATGGACCTTGCAAAGAGGGAGCTGACTCGTCGGAGGCGCCAGAGGCGGAGCATATTGAGTACTTTAAACTCAAGTTCGCTGCTGTGATTTGTCAAGAGGAGGCTAATAGACTGAAATGGTGCAGTGGAACACACGTCGAAAAGAAACCAGGTTGATAAGTACCTGTTTGGTTGTATTGTGCGAAAGAAAAAAGGGTTATTTCTTGCACAGAAATCAAAACATATATGTTGGATGTTTTGAACCAGAATGAAGCCTTTTACGCACCTCATTGCGATTTGCTTTGGATTGTCAACAAGAAGGTAAGAGCGGCTGTCGAGATAGGCAACAAAGAAAGTGAGGATGATGTCAATGCCAAAGAAGCCGTTGACAATGTTGTCAATGACGAAAAGAGCATCCCGCTTGTAAGGCAGAAATGCAAACTCAAATGGGCAAATCCACGCTGAGTAGATGACTAGAAGAACAAGTAGCATCCCCCAAGCCCTGAAAAATGAGGATCACATAAGGGGCATGAATTGATGAGTTGTAGAAGTTTTACTAACAGTTAACCTTGGAATAGCAGTGTGGCAAGGCAAGATGATCATCACCTGTAACGAGGATTATACGGCGATATAATGTATTTCCTGAGCTTAGTAGACTGGTTGATTCTGGCTCCAAGGGAAGGCAGAAGATCAGTAGAGAAGAAGCTGCTCTGAGCAACAGTGTCCATTTGGTATTCATCAATACAGAACCTCCGGAAGAAGTTTTTCGTGCACGAAAACGTCATTTTTTTCTGTGTTCGAGAAAAGGGTTTTCGCTAACTAGATAGCTACAAGATTTTTGAGGTTGGTAAAAATCTTGTGAGAAAAGAGTTATTAATAATAGTAAGGACACTTGGCACTGCAGCTTCCCTTGTTGCTTTCCGGGTAGTTTCGCCGTTCGCTTGTGACATATCTGCTTTTAAACGAATATGCTGGAAGCTTAAGTTGTGCGGGTGGTTACGGATGGAAAGGGGAGTAGGGAACAAGAGGAGAGGTAAAGGATGGAAGAGAGAAACGTGAACACAAAACGAACAAGTTGAGAGGGGGCTGACGAAGTGGCAGACATGAGCAGCTTAATTTGTGTAATGCTGCTGCAGCTGCAGATATGTTCTGGAGTGAGTGAGAGAAGCAGAGAAGATGGTAATGGTGGTTCTTGTTGTATAAAGGTGGGGTTGGTGGGAGCTCCATCATTGATACATGTGAAGTTATGCTCCAAGAGGATGCTCAGCAAGGACCGATTTCAATTGGGTTTTAAGCATGTTATGACATTGGTGCATTTTTGGTTTTCGGTTTTCATTTCAAACTGTTAGAAATGTGAGAAAAGTTTGGTGAGACTGTTCCTGCCACATGACAATATAAAGTTGTAAAAAAAGTCTAGTTAAAAGATAACATATATTTAAGTTTTGTGATATATATTCACTCTATACTGTTACTAAAGAATAGTCCCACATAAGTTTTCTCGGGAATGTTTTAACTCAATTCATATATTCCACGT